TGAGACATGTACCTGGTCGAGGATACTGCGGTCGCCAAAGAGGTGATGTCCATGTAGGTGATGTCTTTTGCTCAAAATTGGGCATGCATGAGGTTACATCCACACATGTTGGAGACGCATGGCTCTGTTATGGCTTAGCGTTCTCGTATCCCATGCAGATGAGACGGTTTCCTTCGTGGGATTGGACTATTTGACACGCACTAGTTGAGAGGCGTTGAGCATGGCAGTGTTCCCCTCACATGTGGTGTGCGGATAAACCGAATCTGAAGAATAGCGCTGAATGTGGCTTGTAGATCGAATAAGCTTACGGCCTGTTGGTACATTGACAGCAGGTTTAAGGAATGGGAGCAAGGCGATGAAGGAGGTTCTTGACTGTGTAAAGCAAAGCTTGCTCTACTGTATTTTCCTATTTCTAATTAAAATAAAATAGGAAGAATCATAATATAGCATTGTCAAAGCAAGTAAAAGCATGAAGCATGAGATAGAGATCTAGGTCTCCTACATGATGTGTACGGCAAGTTCGGCTATTGGTATTCAACTCGTTCTTAAATGAGCTTAGCCTAGAAGAAGGCAGAAACAAGCTAAGCCAAGCATCCATTACAGTAACCAAAACTCAGAATAGATTGCTTAGCCTAGGGCTGACACATGGTGACCAACGAACCCATGTTTCTCCCCTTGTCGTATTTGGCGTTTTTCTCCTCGTGACTCAATTCCCCTTCTTCGGGGTTGGAATCGAGGGCCCCGCAAGGGTCTCTGTAACATCGGTACTCCCGCACGAGCGACATCGCAGTTGAGGTTTGGCATTCTTGGAATTAAACAACGATGAGTAGCGGGTTATCAGAAAAATAAAAGCCGGAATAGAGAAAATCCAGACGGAGGCTAACACGAGGAAGGTCTGGAAGGGAGCTGCTTCGAGTCGTTCACCGATGAGGGTACCGCAGTGCACTAGGAATGTCTCAAGTGAAGCTGGCGGTGCCATGTTGGATGTTGGGTGTTTGGGATGTAGCTTGGTGCTTGGAAGATATGAATGTCTACTCCGTAGTTGGGGGCGAAGAAGAGAGAAGAGGAAGGTGGAGGATCTTGGGAGAGTACGTATACGGAGTACTCGGGCTATAGCAAACAAAGACTCTCAAGCGTCTGCCTAGAGTCCAACGAGCTTGGACTGTCTCGGATCTGCAGTATGTCTTTATTAGGAATATCTATTATGATTATGCAGACATGTCACATTTTGCTTATTTTTTTTTATATCTCACCCGCAGATCAATGGTGATGGCAACTGATGGCACTGATGGGGATGGGTAAAGTACAACTTGACTCTCATTGGCTTAAAAGAATAGGGTTGATCATTTTAATACTTCTTTGTAGTACAACATACGGAGTACTCTGCGTTATTAAGGCTTTAATAGGAGATAGTCAGCTACCTAGGTACCTTCCTAGATAGGTAATATAGGCAATTTGCTTTTTCTGGTGTAGTCAGCCTCGTCTCCGATCTACATTGGGGCTATATAACTAGTATAACTAATATATTCCAAAAAGGGTTAGTTTATACTCAGCTGTGTGGCATGTCCTACGAAATTGGGATAACGCATCTTCTTCACATTGATTTATTGGCATTATGGAATATGTGTGATATTGATATTCCATTTCCTATTTTCATCTGTCATTGGATGACTCCAGGGCTGCTTACAGGGTGCTGACTAACTTTTTGCCATCGCCTGTGGGCATCCATGGTGTCAATGGGTTAAAGATGTGTATGATTCTAAGTAAAACTTTAGTCTAGCAGGATTGTAGATGCCCCTTTTTGTTACGATATATATATATATATATATATGATATACTATTATATATGATAATATTATATAGGAGGTCCGTTCGTACAATTGTGTATCCTTACCTAGCGTGTCTAACCTTGTATTGAGGCCTTGGCTAGATATCCCTGCAAATATAGGCAAAGTGAGAAGTTTCGCGAACACTAGATGGTTTCAAAAGAGAGAAAAAGAAGTTCGAGTCTTAAAATTAAGGAGACGAACCTCCTATTTTGGGGACAACATGTGATGAGCTCAAAATGGATTTTGTATATAAAAAGAGATGTGTGGGCTGATCCGACGGGGAAAATAGGGACTGGGATGTTTTGAGGCTGAACTACAACCCCTGTTTCGCCTCTAGTTTTATCTATAGTTTTGCTCTACTTCTTCTTCTTCTTTTTTTTTTTTTTCCCCATCATGAGATCTAAAGAACTAAAGAATGAAAATAAAATAAAATAAAATCAGATATTGTGTAAGAGGTGCAGGTCTACTGAACAATCGTACAATCTAGTACAACCTAATCGGCATTTACATACCAACTGGGGTCCAATAATTATGCAGTATATACAGTATAGTCCACAATAGTTCACTAGTTCACTAGTTCCCCAAGTTCAAAATATATCCTGTCAACATAAAATATCAAATAAAATGGAGTCTTGAAAAGTCCGAAGCCGTTGGGTACAAGTAGCGGGAACCCCGCCTAAACCCGCAACTCATTCTTCTTCACCTTCCCGACATCATACGGTTGGCAACCCCATATATATCCCCCCCTCCCAAAAAATGACAAAAGCATCAACCGAGGCCTATCCATATAATCTGGGCTCGTACGGGAAGGTCATTAAAACCACGAGCCCTGAAGCCCAAATATGGTTCGATCGTGGTCTTGTCTGGGCATATTCTTTCAACCATAAGGAATCCATCGTCTGTTTCAAACAGGCACTTGTGCATGATCCATTATGTGTGATGGCCTACTGGGGGTTGGCCTATTCTCTCGGTCCCAACTACAACCAGCCTTGGGATTTTCTCGGTAACGATTTGGCAGCCGTGGTTGAAAACACATATCGAGCTGCAACCAAAGCTCGCTTTCTCTCTAAAAGAAATGGTTCCCCACTGGAACAGGCCCTCTCTAAGGCGATCTCCGCCCGCTATCAAAGTGATAAACCGGCTAGCATGGATCAATATGCTATTCAAAATATTGCGTATGCCGATGCAATGAAAGAGGCGTATGAAAATTTTAGTGATGATTTGGACGTGGTTACTCTGTACGCTGATTCCATGATCAGCCTCACACCCTGGAAGTTGTGGGATCAGGTAACCGGTGCACCAAATCCAGGTACTCGTACCATGGAAGCAAAGAGGGTGCTAGAGGCAGCTCTCCAACATAAAGATGCCTCTAAACACCCCGGTCTCCTGCACATGTACATTCATCTTATTGAGATGTCGCCCTTCCCAGAACTAGGTCTCCGACCGGCAGACTACCTCCGGGATCTCGTCCCAGATGCCGGTCATATCACTCATATGCCCTCCCATCTGGACGTGCTGGTTGGGGACTATCGAAATGCTGTCCGCGCAAACCAGCGTGCCGCTATTGCAGATGAGAAATACCTCGCGCTGAAAGGCCCCTTTAATTTCTACTCAGTCTACCGCATGCACACCTACCACTCACTCATCTACGCAGCCATGTTCGCGGGCCAGAAACAGGCCGCATTCGAAGCTGTGGACCGCATGGAGGCGACATTGCCAAAAGAACTGCTCTCGGCCCTGGCGGATTACATCGAAGTCTTCATGTCTGTACGCGCACACATCATGATACGCTTCGGCATGTGGGATGAACTTATTGCGATTGCCATCCCTTCAGATCCAGAGCTTTACTGCATGACGATAGCGGTTCTGCACTACGCCAAGGGCGTGGCATATGCAGCATCAGGGAACGTGCCGGATGCAGAGCGTCAGCGAGAGCTGTACCGAGCAGCCCGGGCTCAAGTCCCGGATACGCGCTTGGACTGGCCCAACAAGTGCATGGATATTCTGGGGGTGGCGTCGGAAATGTTGGATGGAGAGATCGAGTACCGTCGTGGGAACTACACGGAGGCTTTTGAGCATCTACGTCGCTCGATTGAATTGGATGATGGGCTGGGTTACAGTGAACCCTGGAGCTGGATGCAACCTACCCGTCATGCATACGCTGCTCTTTTGCTAGAGCAGGGCCATATCGAGGATGCAGCGGCTGTCTACCAGGCTGATCTGGGCCTTGATAGCACTCTTATCCGTGCGCGTCAGCATCCGAATAATGTATGGGCTTTGCAGGGCTACCATGAATGTTTGATACGCCTTGGTCGACATGATGAGGCGCGCATTATTGGACCACAGTTGGCGATAGCGGTGGCTGTGGCTGATGTGCCTGTAACATCTTCTTGCTTTTGTCGTCTGGATACCTTTGAAGCACCCAATGTTGGCAAGAGCTGTTGCAAATAAAATTGATACATGTACATTGTTTTTCTAACTCATATTACCAATTCATCATTAATGCACTATGTATTCTTAAGATTCTATATACAACATAGGTCTTCATAGTAAAACATTCCAAGATTGGCCAATCACCGATAGCGGGTGTCCTCTACCAATGACGACCTCGGAAGTTGACTCGGTGTTTGATCCAAAGATCAAACGCCGAGCCAAATGTAACTTCTTCTTCTCCTTGGACAAACTATACCTTCAGCGACCTATTGATTCTTCTCAAGCAATAGAAGCAACGATTAAGTTAAAGTACGTAGATCTTATCACCGCCCTCATTCAATCAGGTCATAGTTATCACGTGCCCTGGTGACGTCCCTACGCAGATATAATCATTTGCTAACTGCATCTTCCAAACAATTAGACGATGCCTCGTGTTATGAAACCGCCTGTGAAAGCTGCGTGTCTGACATGGTCTGTTACATACCTTGTCTGCCACTCATTCTTACCCTGAGCTTATATTTTGTAGTCGAACATCGAAAACACGTTGTGACGGCCAGCATCCCTGTGGCAATGTATGCCAAATCACTCATTCTGGATCTCATTGGCTAATTTATTGATTAGTGCTCTGACAGAAAAAGAGAATGCAGTTATCAACCCAGTCGCCGGGGTGGTCCTCGCAGAGGAGCCCAGTATGAGAGACAACGACAACCAACTGCAGGCAACTCACTGCCATCTTCAATGTCAGATGTCGCCAATGAAATTGGTAACTCAACTTCCTATATCATAAGCCATCATAGTATTTAACCAACGGCCAGAACCATTCCTTGACAACATGATCGGCCTGGCATCACCATATGCTGGAATCCACAATCTCGATCTCTCCCCGGATTCTCTGTCAATTGTGGATGGAGCCCAGCAGATCTGGGGTCAACTCACCCCGCATGATGATAGTTCCTTTGACACAGTCCCTATGCACGATAGGGGGTCATCGGCAGTACGCGCCTATCAATCCGAAGAGGAAATGTTGGTGTAAAAGAGACATTATTCAGGCACGACCGACTGCTAATCGGACACACAGTGCCAATGCCTATTATATTTATATCCATCCATATTTACCTTTGTTGCCGCCTCCAGTGGCACCGCAGCACGAAGATCGCCCTACCGTGATCAGGCCATTTAACGAAGATTCTCAAGCAAAAAAGTCCCGCATGCCTTATTGGCCGACGTCATCTCTGACTCTTGCCTTGTCCGCAATGCTAGTCCTTATACCCATCACTGAAGACACTTTTCCGATGGCTGAAACGAGCCTTGCGCTTAGGCGGTCGTACGCGCAGCTATTTGCCCAGGCGGCGCTGACTGCTGTGGAAACCGAGACTGACGATTTGCCGGCTGCTTTGATCACTAATGTGTTTGAAGCAGAATCATGTCGAATACGAAATGGTTTGCATCCGCAGGTTCCAAATCAGCTTCATCCGGTGCTGGCTCTTGTGGTCCTCGGTATCTATGAGTATTGCCAGCGTGGTAATATATCTAGAATGCGGGCTCGAGGTAACCAGGCTATCACAACTGCTATGGATATCTCCCTTCATAGACTTGATACGACGACGACAGATTATTCTGAGGCACAGAGACGAACTTGGTGGATGACAGTTAGTGAGAGAGACATTTTATTCTTAGAGTTGCTGCTCACTAGTCCTATAGATTTGGGTCTCATATCTATCGTCGAACCTCCACCTTTCTGTAAGAGAACATATGAACACTCCCCTGGCCGATTTTGACTAATTGATACCAGCCACCAATTGTTTATATGAATGATCCACGAATAACTACCCCTTATCCCAAATTTGGTGTGTCTCTGGAGGTAGGTTATTCAACTCCTTTCCTTGAATCCTCTACTGACTGTTACAAGCCATGGCCCATAATGATGAAAACACAAGAAGCTCTTTTTGAGTCTCACAAAATCGTCCAAAACATCGAACGCATGGATGAGACGGCCGTTCTCTCCGACTTCGGCACTCGAATACGCAAGCTAGATTCGAATCTTGTATCTTTAATAGGTGAAGCAGACCGCCATCTTCTGACAACTTTTGATGAAGAGCCAGAGGCATCCGTAGCTCAAACCATGTGGATGATCAGCCGCATGTTCATCCATGCGTGAGTGATTCATCTTCAGCCTCAATATATATCTTATTGACCTTTCTAGTTCTCGCACTCGACTGCACCGTTTCCGGGCATTCATGGACATCCCCCTTTTTCTCGACAAATACTGTGATCTCGCAGCAATCAACAGCGTGGATTTCCCGCCCCAAACGTCTCCTTCTAAGTGGGTGACAGACTGCGAGATTTCATTCCCGTTCACCGAGCAAGAATCCTCGATTATCTGTCTCAAGTCTTCGCTCGTTGTGACGACAATATATCGCAATTTGCCGTATCCGAATCTACTTGGGTCAGCACCTTCTTCTAGGTCCACAGCATATCCGAAAACTATTCCTTACTTTGCTTGCTCCGGTATACAAAGCTGCTACGCTCTTCTTATGTTACTACATCGACTGCGTGCATCCATGGCGACGGATCGACTTGCAGATTGTTACCACCTGCTTAATAACCCTACTCCTGCGTCGGAGATTGCTGATGCTGAGAGATTGACGGAGGAGCTGCGACATGGAGTGGAAATTATTGGCAGAGATCTGAAATCTGATGTGATTTTTGAGGGTGTTGGGGGTATGGGGCGGGAAATCGAGGGCGCTTACCTGGCTGCTTTTCCTAATTGTTTTGAGATCTAGAAATATATAAATCACGAAGTTGGAGCAATGTATATCATCCCGCGAGCTACATATGGAACTCAGCAACAACCACTTACACTAATGTCAACATCAGAGCACTAACGTATTTCCTCTCAAATATCCCAAAAATGACTGCTAATTATTCAAAATAATCATCGATAGAATCTTTGGGGACGTATTTGTGTGAAAGCCATCTGGTCACGTTCTCGGGAAAATTGATTGGCCGAGCCGACGAGATCACCCCGAGGTTCTCCTGCGCGTGTCTGATTCTAAGGAGAATAGACATGGCCGGGAATATATCAATCTCGCCATTTCTGTTCCAGCGTTGCTTCCAGCAAGCATGGTCCGGATCACGACGGGTTCGCATCAATTATGGCGACACCAAATATGGAACTAAACCTGGCGATAATGATACTCTGCGGCTTCCACGGAGATTTGGTAAGCTTTAAAGATCGAATAATTATACAATTGTTGTTTGCATCTCGAGGGATTTTAGCTGACGTGTGAATTGGTAGGAATCGCCGTTAGTGGTGGTGCCGACTCCATGGCTCTGGCATACCTATGCAAGCAACTAGAACGCTCTTCTGATGTTGCTGGAGCCATTTCTTTCACTGCTTTTGTGGTAGATCATCGTGCTCGTCCAGAAAGCACTGTTGAAGCACAGAAGGTTGCTGGGTGGCTTCGTGATATGGGTACATTTCAAGTCGGGATATTTACATTTTTGGAAGATTGTTTAACCATTCTGAAACAGATATAAAAACACAGATCCTCAGTTTGGACTGGAAAGAGATTACTTCAAGTCAGAATCAATTGACTTCACCAAAGACTGGAGCATCAAGTCCCCTACCGTCCGCATTTGAGACACATGCTCGACGACACCGTTTCCAAGCCCTCGGCATAGCTTGTCATGCATTCAAACTTGAAACGTTGCTTTTAGGCCATCATCAAGATGACAACGTTGAAACCACCATTTGGCGGCTCTCCACTGGGGCAAATGGTTTAGGCCTGGGCGGCATCCCCGAAGTTGCACGAATCCCCGAATGCCATGGTCTCTTCGGGGCTTCTGAGAGCTGGTCAACTACATCAATCCCCACAAAGCCACCAACAAAACCGCAATTCAAAGTTCGATTCGATAACCATAAGCATGGGTTCATCGGCCCTCCTGACTCAAACGCTACGACAGATCAAATCTACTCTAATCTCACATCCAATGTAAACATGGCAAGCCCAGGCATATTCATCTGTCGACCTCTACTCTCTTTCACTAAAACAAGCCTTCTGGAGACCTGCCACAAAAACAATGTTCCCTACGTCTCCGATCCAACAAATTTCGACCCAACCCTCACTCCCCGGAACGCCATCCGCAGCCTTCGCACCTCAAGCTCCCTACCCCGTGCACTGGAGTCACAATCCATCCTCTCCCTCATCCGCTCAAGCCAAAACCTCCTGCAGAAGTCAAACGAGCTTTCCAACTGTCTCCTCTCATCCCAATGCCGAATCCTAGATTTCAACCCCAAGGCAGGGTCAGCGGTCATTCAATTCCTAGACACAAGCCCAGCATCCATGGACCCCCAACTGGCAACATTATCAGCGTCTCGAATCCGACAGATCCAGACCATCGTTCTCCGCCGCATCACAGAACTAGTCTCTCCATTCCCCGATAGCCATTTCTCGCTACGCAGCTACGAGCCACTAGTTTCCAACGTGTTCCCTGGTCAAGATGAATCTCCCGACGCAAGCGCCACGTCCAATGACCAGAAAAGAAAAAAGGCCTTCACGGTAGCGGGTGTTCTGTTCCAGCGTCTCGCAGATGAATCCTCGACGCCTGGAAAGTCCCAGGATCCTCGTCTCGGGGGTGATAATATCTGGTTGCTATCCCGGCAACCATTCATGAGAAATCGGGATCCCGTGACGCAAATCAATGTCTCGCCTGGTGGCAGTTTTACTCCGTGGGCTTTGTGGGATAACCGGTACTGGATGCGACTTCGTCTCGTTCCGTGCGACCGTGATCCGAGTGAACTGGGAGGTCGATTGATAAGTCTTCCTCTTACGATACGTCCGTTCCATAAATTTGATATTGAACGGATACGCAAAGATGCGGTTAATTCAAGGCCGCAGGGGCGAATGAATAAGGATTCTACTGCTGAACAGAAAGTTCCCGGGACTTTTGAGCACCTCAAAGCCGTCTTGTCTGCTGAAGCGCCTGCTCAGCTGCGTTTCACTCTACCTGTGATATCAAGGGAAGGCATTGTGTCTAAGCCAGGGAATCCTCTGGGTCGGAAGATTTGGCAACAGCTGGCATTGCCGACTTTGGAATATCGGCTATCTGGTCATTCAACTAAGTATCCTTCCCTCAGCGAGGTGGAATTAGTACATCTACGATGTCGGTGGAAACTGCAATGGCAGTGGATGTACAAAATGATTGATACTGAGGCCCTACGCCTGATGGGCTGGCCGGTGGGTAAAAATGCCGAAGAGACTTAGTGTACATGACAACAACACCTAGACAAAAAAAAAAAAAACGCAAGCCATTTATGTAAAAACTTGGTCTCCTGAGCTATGCAAGCATGGTCAATGACTATCTGTGCGGATAGGCCAGTGTGAAGGGCAACAAGAAATAGGAATGAATACAAGTAAGAAAGGCTCATGATATGTATGCAAATGAATAGGTGTCCAAAGGAAAGTAGAAGAGGCTGGTGCGATATCAAAATACAAGGTGAAAGGAAAAGATAATTGTGACAGGTGTCAGGTTGTGTAAGATGTCCAGGTGTGGGAAATGAATGTGTGATGGGACAAGCCCTCGATGCTGTATATTCGGTTATTGCTCGCTCGCCTTGACCAGTGCAGCGGCAGCTGACTGGGCTCGAAGACCTCCAACTTCTCGCTTCAAACGGAAGTTTTCTTTCTTCACTCGACCGATCTCGTCTAGAGCACTTGCCAATTGAGATTTCAAGGCATCTTCTGCGTGGCCCGAACGGACATCCTTTGCAATCTTGCTGAGCTCGGTATTAAACCGATCATAGAGAGCCTCGTTCTCCGCGCTTGCCTCGCGATAAAGCTCGTCTAATTTCTTCACGCGCTTCTCGCTAAGAATCAACGACGACTCCAGGTCTCGCTCGAGAGCGGTTGTGCGGCCATTGTATTCCCCGGTAAGCGTGTCAAATTTGGCTTCAAGATTGCGCATGCGAGATTCAAGGGATGCGGTAGTAGCAGAATATGGATTGGTGTTTGTACGGTCAAAATCAAACTCCAAGTTCATTGCGTTGGATTGCCTTGGTGGCGTGAGTTTCAGAGAACGCAATTCGTTGCCAAGCTCTGTAAGCTCATCTTTCAGGCCCAATTGGGTGGATTTTTGGGTCTTCTTTTCTAGTTGAACACGATCACGTAACTAAGAGAATGTCAGTGAAGTCATAATCGAGACAAATAAGATGCGACCGACCTTTTGTGGGCTTTGCATCCGCGGTTTCAGCGGTCTCTGCAAGGAAGACGAAGATTGTGGCCGCTTAGTATCGGAACTGTTGACGGTTGGCCGCTCTCGAAGGCCCGGAGTCCGCTGAGGAATGCCTGACGTGTGGGATCTCCTCCTTGCCTCCTCCACGGGCGATTCAGACACACCCCCCCTGGGCTTGGTTGTACGTTCTGTCTGTGGACTCCTGGGATCAATGTTCTCCTTCCTGCTCGGCGTAGAGGGACGGGGCGGCGACAGGCGGCGAATGGGTGATCCTAGTCGCGTCGGTGAACCGGATTTCGCTGGCGGCTTAGAACGCATTGGTGATTGACCACGCATTGGGGACTGACCCCGCATAGGTGATGTTGGTATGTAACTGCTCTGGGGTCTAGACTGCTTGGTGGGCGTTACCACCTCCGCTCGCGGGTGGCTGGAAGGGGTCGTCGGGCGGAGTTGTTGAGTTGGAGAGATACTGGATGCATCTGAGGATGATGTGGGTGGTCGTAAGTCCGAAAGAGAGCTCCTTCTTTTTCTGCGAGTCCTTGGCGCGACATCTTCAGAGAAGCCTCGGAAAGAAGATAGAGAAGGTGGGTTTTCGTACCCGGTGCCCGGCCTCGAGATTTGCTCCTCGGATGCGAACCCATACGGACGGTACGGACGATCACGGGATGTAGGGCGATCGCGGGATGTAGGTCGGTCGCGGGATGTAGGTCGATCACGAGATGTAGGACGATCGCGAGATGTAGGGCGGAAGAACCCCAGACGAGAGTCTACGTCAGTCGACTTTGATCGCATCACAGACCCCTTGGGTGTATTGGGCTCTGAGCCGGCCGGGCTTTGTTTCTTGCTCAATGTCCTTAGAATCGCCGCGACTTTGCCTTCGCCTTCATTTTTCGAGGTGTCCCTGTGCATACCAAAGCCAAAGCGTTTCCGGAAAGAGGAAGAATTGGAACCGACTGACCCAGCATTGGTGTGAGATTTCGATTGATCGCAGGTTAGTGTTCCTTCCACTGAGGTACCTCCAGGAATAAATTCTTCGAAGAGGTTGTCAAAGTCTTCGACCAGTCGATCTAAAAGGGAGACATGATGACTGGGATCTCCGTCTTCTGTGAGTACTTCCGCAAATGCCATCGTCAAAGCACCACGATCTCCGTCATTTCCAGATGCATCGAGTAGTTCGGCAAGTAGTCGAATGATCGCAGCTAGGGCTCGTCTGTTTTGCGGGCTCATATCTGTCACGAATTTCCGGAATTGCTCATCGAAATCTCGTGGTATCATGGTGTCAAACTGGCTTTGAATCCATTTCAGAGAGGAGGGGCTCAAGACAGAGCCCATGCTTCTTCTCCAAGCGTTCGCCAGAAAGGTTTCAAATGCGACGAAAAGCGTATCAACTGGCACTTCAGCGGCAGCCTGGATTCTGCTTGGGTCTTCCAGCAAAATGTTGTAGAGCTCATTGACTGGCGCACGGTCAACATGCTCTCTGACCCGAAGCATTCGGCCCAGGATATTTCCACTCCGAGACTGCAGAGAAATTACATAGGCTGCAAATGTTTGTTCCAGCAACCCGAACTGAGTATCCAGTCCCTTGGAGGTAGATGCCCCAACAACTGATATTTTGCTCCCAGTTTCCTCTTTCTCCTTGTCCTTGTCTCTCTCCTTGTCCTTCTCCTTGTCCTTCTCTTTATCTTTATCTTTCCCGGGGAATGTCGAAGGCAAAGTGTTTGATCTCGACAGGGTGCCTCTTGGCGGGAGCATTTTTGGGAATTCACCGGTAAGAGTGGCTGATCCTGACCCTTTGTGAGTGGACACGTTATCACGGCTACTCCCCAACAAGTTTGAGATCAGTTTGGTCGGCGAAGGTGGCCGGAACCCCCGCGAAGACTTGACTTGGGTTATTAAGCTGCTGGCGATATACCGAAGGATTTCAAAATTGGAATGAACCAATGGGTTCGTCAATGCCGGGTTTCGGGGGCTATGTAGAGGCGACAGCAAATATTGAACTTTGTTTCTAAATGTCAGTGTCAAGAAAATAAAGATATCACAGGAGGTCACTTACGACGGCGTGAAAGAGTGGGAATGAAGGTGTCCACCGTGATCAAATCCGTAGACCCAGATCCAACCACTGAATCGATGTCTAGTCTGTATTGGTCTCCATTGGGAGGAGATATCGATATGATGACCTCAAGATTGGAATCTCTCAGCATTTGACCACAGGCCGCCTTGGATGCATCAAAAACAACCCGTATGGGGGATGACTGAATCTGATTCAACGCGGCGCTTTCACCATCCTCGCACACACAGGCCAGGATTCCCACGTTGCTCGCAGCTCCGGTGGCAGGGCTTCGGAGTGTCCACTTGCCTCCTTCTCTTTCACTCTCGGGAAACCGACCCTCAATCTTCGCTTTGGATATTTCTTCAATAAATCGACTGGCTCTTCCTTCATATGTCCCAGCCAATTCCAGTGCAAGGAGGTCGGCTCCAGCACTTGTTTCATCTGTCATGGACTTGGCTGAAATTGGCACAGCAAACAAAATTCGACCACATGCAGATTGCATGCAACGCACATTATGAAAGTCTAGTACCTGCACAACCTGTAGTTCTGCTGGCGGTAAAGACGTAGAGATATCACTCGTTGCGGCGGCCGCATTGTCGATGTCAGCCAGTACACCACGGGCCGTGGCCCGGCTTTCGGCGGGCTTTGCTAGAAGAACCAGGCAGTTCTTATAAAGAAGCATGATCCCCGTGCTGTTTCCAGATGACTGGGTGTCCAGATTGTAGGGAGGGGTGATCTCGTTGAAGTCGACTGCGGTAATCAGCCGACCTTCAGGAAATGTCTTTGCTGGCCATCCGTTAACTAGCTCTTTCAGGCGTTGAAGGCTTTGAGCGTGGCTCGATGGGGAATTATTCTCTAGCGCACAGATATCCTTCACAATGTCTCTTGCTTTCAGCAGAGTTCGCACAGCAGGATGAACCAAGGGCAGATTGCTAGTCATGGTGTCAATCAGCAAACTGTATCGAGGGAGTCGCTGAACGGGTTCCATCAACAAAGAGCGCAGTCTCTGTTCCCCGTCTCGTATACCCTCTTCGAAAAGCTAGAGTTCTTATCTTTCATGAACAGATTCAGAGTTTGTGTGAAACCTGTATGTGCTCGCATATAATCTCCGTATGGCTGTGAAAATTGCGGTAACCATTCAAAGAGGGCCTTTGCGAATGCCAGAGCCCCAAGCGGATCCGATCTATCTCTGGGTAAACCGCGATGATTGGAAGGGAGCTCCGTGTCCTGACCAATATCTGTGATGGCATCTTTCTCCGTTTCATCGAGAACTTGTCGGATGACATCGAGGAAGCCCAGATTGACTTCCAGGATTTCATTCAAACACGGTGGGAATAATGCCGCCAAAGCGGCCTCGTCGGGGCTGTTACTGGATGGTCCTCTACCCACAGCCTTTTGCCGAAATTCGTCGGCCACTTCATGGACGAGAGAATACAGTTTGGCGACATATCTTTCTTCGGTATCCACAAGCTCGCACATGGTGAGACGAAGGGCTTCTTTCTGGCTTCTTGCGAACAGCCGCGATTTGCTGACATTGGTCGGCTGAGACGGCGCACGCTTTAGTCGGGATGTTGGCAAAAACATAGGATCTCCCAACGCCTCTATCAGGGGTGTGTATGGTCCGTACTGGGGATTCTGACTCCCCTCAAGATCTGATCCCACACTCTCTCGCCGGTGGAATGGTTGTATAGTGCCTGCAGGAAGCACCACATCGATGTCAATCCACGGCACCCTGCGTTCTTGATATGCGCTCCGTATATCCTGAATAATCTCCAATGAATCATCCACTTTTGCCATACGGTTGGCCAGGTCCGCAGCATGCATCTCATCGAACATCTTGGGGGCCTTTCCTCCCGGTCTTCCTGACCGAGCCACCCCAGTCAGACGGTGCTTAACCGGTTCAGACAGCTCGGCAAAGTACCTCAGCATGCTGACGGCAAGTCCGCGACACACCTCATCTCCTTGTTTTTCGCGGGGTAGGTGGTTGACTGCAGCATACACGGGAGCGGCTGGGGACACCGTAATTCGAGGGTAACTTTGAAACCCGGCGGGAGTGAATATATGGGCCTGGATGCGGGAACTGCTCACAGTGGCATTGGCGGTGGAAACAGCACCATAGAAGACGAAGATGGATGATAAGCATGAGTCGACGACATGGTAGAGGCTAAGATGTTCGAGGGGTAGGTCTGCCAGCGTAGGGGCTGCGGGGGGAGGTGCGATGGTCGCCATAACGAATGGAAAGGCACTTGTAGTGCAAGTGCGGAATGCGAGAAGCTGTTGAGCAAGCGCTATCGTGCGCGATAAACAAATGAAATGCGCCTAGGTTTGGCGTAGAAGGAGCGATGCAGTAGCAAGGTAGCGAGTGAGGGGAAACAAGAGCGCTGTACTTGGAATTAAATGAGAGGAATTTTCCTAGGCTGAGTGAAAGACAGTTGAAGATCGCATGTAGGATGTGTTATCCTGTTGTTGATAAAGCGATTGCGACATTCGCGCTCCACTCCATAGAAGCTGAGGTACAGAAGATATCCACTCAATTCATAGATTCAGGGAGTAGACACGTGCAGTGCAAAAAAGAAAAGAAGGGTAGATCCCCAAAAGGTATGTAAAGGAAGTGTAAGATTGAGGGGAGGCGTTTGTTTTGAGGCGGGGACAAGAGAAGCGGTGGGTTGATATCGCGATAGCCCGATAGAAGAGCGGGTATTAGCGCCTAACACTAAGAATAGTAAATAAAAGAATGACTTGAATATGTCCAGCACACCCTGATTGACTAGGTTGTAAGAATTACATTCTCTACTTTGAAATGTCCTAATCTCTTGTTTTTAATATTTACTCTACTATGTTTTGTCCGGCCAACGCTATCAACACCGTTGCTATCGTTGCGATCCCCAACAGCTGCAAGGACCAGTGTGACAGGTCACATCTGCATGATTCGCTGAATATATGGGGTTCATCGCACCTTGTTGGTCTCCATATTTTCAATTTTTATACACGAGCTTGATGGCTAGACCCATGTAGTTATATGAGAATGTTTCATGATAAGTATATAGTTATAGATAGAAATACTAGATATGTCTGACGCACAATGCCATTATATTTTGAACACTTCAACAAAACTTGTTTTATAAATAATAATATTCGTGTCAATTCGGAAATTCCACCTTTGTTTACTCGGAAAATATATCAGCCACTATATCGATGATCGCCGCGTTAATATGTTGATTAATTCATGCATACATGATGTGCCTAGAGCTTCTTATTGTCTTTTTTACCTCCCATATCGACTTCTTATAGTCTGATTATCTGACTATTATTGGTAGGTGGTGTTGAACTCGCATGGAAGGATGTCAACAAAGGCGAAATCAAACATTTTGGATCCATGGATGCGATCGATTACCAGATGGTACTAAATACCCCATCGGTACAAATTTGGATCCAATCAAATCAGTTTAATACAAATTAGGTGGTAATGTGCAATACAGCCCCTGTCGTAGGCGGTGAATGGGCGGGGAAGACGCTAAGCTCGATAAGGTAACCAGCAGTATGATGATCAAGAGACCAGCTGTTTCGTTCCGACATCCAAAATGGTGTCACAACAGCGAGCATCTTCTGCGATGCTCGATCCCACCATGGACTCGTCCTCACTCCCAATTGCCATCGACCCGGTGGCTTTGGTGACCACTGAATGTATCACCGTCACCTCATCCATGCGCAAGCATGCCCGCTGGGCTCACTCCTCGGTTTCCGCCATCTTGGGCGGCAATGGAGCCTCTCGTGTCTATGAGCGGGATAACTCTGCTCCCTCGAGCCCAAGTCCACGCAGAACTGGTCAATCGATAACTCGTCCCGATGAAGATCATGTCCTGGCCAATCGGTGGGGTCTGCGAGGGAAGAAGGGGAAGAGCATGCAGGACAACCCATTAATATCGGCCTTTACACGACTGCGGAGTGATCTGAAAGATTGCAAAGATATCCGAACTTTTGATACCCCAGCTTTACTTCATCCATTCTTACAGGTCGTTCGCTCCTCTTCGACCTCTGCCGCAATTACCTCTATCGCCTTGGTCTCCGTTACCAAGTTCCTCTCTTACAATATTATCAACCCAAATTCCCCACGGCTCCCGATCGCGATGCAACTGCTCTCAGCCGCCATTACACACTGTCGATTCGAAGCCAGCGACTCCTCGGCGGATGAGATAGTGCTGTTGAGGATTCTGAAGTTGATGGAGGGCATACTTTCACGACCCGAAGGCGAACTTTTGGGTGACGAGAGCGTCTGCGAAATGATGGAAACTGGTTTGAGCATGTGTTGCCAGGGCCGTCTATCAGAGGTACTTCGCAGATCCGCCGAAATGGCAATGGTCAAAATGTGCCAGGTGATCTTCATGCGTCTGTCGCATCTCGATCAAGAAATGCCTGTAGGACCGGATCCATTTGCTGGTGAAGACACAAAGAAGGACCCACCGTCTCGTCTGAAGATGGACCCGTCGGTCAACGGAGACACCGTCACATCGCAACACTTCTCAGCCATCAGCGCAGACACAGCGGCCGCAGAACGGCACAGTACCGGTCGAGAGGGATCGCCCGAGCAGGCAGGAAATGGCAGCGCAGCTGCAGCTGCACCGCCGAGCCCGCACGATGACGCTGAAACCGAGCTTCAACCCTATTCTTTACCATCCATCAAAGAATTATTCCGTGTCTTGATCGACCTGTTGGACCCTCATAACCGGCAACATACTGATGCCATGCGTGTTATGGCACTCCGGATTATCGACGTTGCCTTGGAGGTAGCAGGTCCCTCCATTGCTCGGCATCCCAGTCTGGCTGCCCTGGCCAAGGACGATCTTTGTCGACACCTTTTCCAGCTAGTCAGGTCGGAACACATAGCTATCCTGACTGGCTCGTTGAGAGTAGCCGGCACGTTGTTATCGACTTGCAGGCCGGTTTTGAAATTACAACAGGAACTCTATATTTCCTATTTAGTGGCCTGCTTGCACCCTCGCGTGGAAATACCGCGAGAACCTGGTATCGACCCATCGCTCTACGAAGGCATTCCCCAATCACCGAAGTTGGTAAAACAACCCGCTTCTCAGGCTAATAGTGGAAGATCCACACCTGTACCTGTTAAAGATCGACAGAAATTGGGACTCGAAGGTGGGGCGAGAAGGCCCGAAGCCCGAGAGGCAATGGTAGAGAGCATTGGAATGTTGTCACGCATACCTAGCTTTATGGTTGAGCTTTTCGTCAACTATGATTGTGACGTGGACCGAGCAGATCTTTGCGAGGATATGATTGGATTGCTATCTCGTAATGCTTTCCCAGACTCTGCAACTTGGAGCACTACCAATGTGCCCCCATTATGTCTCGATTCTCTTTTGGGCTATGTGCAGTTCATCCATGACCGGCTGGGTGACGAGCCGATACAAGGAGACTATCCTCCTCAAGAAAGCTTGAAAAAACAACGTCACACGAAGAAACTCATTATCAAGGGAGCGCAGATCTTCAATGAGGACCCTAAGAAGGGAATTGCCTTCCTTGTCAGCAACGGTGTTATTGAGGATGCAAACAATCCTGTTCTAGTTGCTCGCTTCCTGAAGGGAACTACACGCTTGTCGAAGAAAGTTCTCGGAGAGTACATCTCCAAACGTGGCAATGAGGAGTTGTTGGGAGCATTTGTGGATCTTCTTGACTTCTCGGGGCGTAATGCAGTCGAAGCTCTTCGGGAACTACTCAGTTCATTCCGTTTGCCCGGCGAATCGCCGCTTATTGAGCGCATTGTGACTACCTTTTCGGAACATTACGTTGAAAAGGTCAAGCCGGATGGCATCGCCGACAAAGATGCACTATACATTTTGACCTACGCCATCATCATGCTTAACACTGAACTCTATAACCGCAACGTGAAGTCACAGAACCGTATGACTTGCTCTGGCTTCGCAAGGAACTTGCGAGGTGTCAACGGGGGTGGAGACTTTGCGGAAGAATTCCTCGAGGATATCTACGATTCTATCAAGAACAACGAAATCATTCTGCCCGATGAACACGAAAACAAGCATGCGTTTGACTATGCTTGGAAGGAGCTATTGCTGAAGTCTTCGTCTGCTGGCGACATCATAGTTGGAGAGACGAACATGTATGATGCCGAAATGTTCGCGGCCACGTGGAAACCAGTGATCGCGACCCTCTCATATGTCTTCATGTCTGCATCAGATGATGCAGTGTATTCTCGCGTGGTCAATGGCTTCGACCAGTGTGCACAGATCGCTGCCCGCTATGGCTTGACTGAGGCGTTCGACCGTATCGTCTTCTCCCTTGCCTCGATTAGCACTTTGGCTACTAGCAAACCTCCAAGCACAGCGCTAAACACCGAGGTCCAAGTAGGTCAGAAGAGCGTGATGGTAAGTGAGCTAGCCGTCAAATTTGGCCGAGACTTCAGAGCACAACTGGCAACTGTGGTGCTTTTCCGAGTCCTCTCAACAAACGAGGCAACTGTCAAGGAAGGCTGGGAGCATATTGTCCGGATCTTGAGTAATTTGTTCATCAACTCTCTCATCCCACCATTTGATGCTAAACTCACGTCCGAACTTGAGATTTCTCCAATTCCACTACAGCCTCCATCACAGGTGGTGGATCGGGATGGACGCAACAACGACACGGGAATTTTGTCTGCATTTACGTCTTACCTCTCAAGTTATGCGGCAGACGACCCTCCTGAGCCTTCGGATGAAGAACTCGACAACACACTCTGCACAGTGGATTGTGTGACTGCATGCTCCATATCCGAAATTTTAACAAATATCAAGTTAGTAAAGGTGTTTCATTGATGAGCTTGTGGCCATGATGCTGACTTCTCTGGCAGATCTCTTCCCCTCTCTTCATTGGAGATGCTCGTGGACGCTTTGCTGTCCCTACTTCCCGAGGAGAACGCACCAGCAGTCATCGTCGTAAAATCCGAACGCCCGGCACCAACGTCGAGGACTGCCAACAACAGAGCTGATCCTAACCAGCCCAAATATGATCCTTCGATGATTTTCGTTCTGGAATTGGCAACGGTGCTCACTCTTCGTGACGAAAAGACCCTGGAGGTTCTTGGCGAAAACCTGGCAACAACTCTTCAAACACTGGTGCGCGATGCGAAGAACCTCCATCCGCTAACTGTGTCCCGCGTTGTTTCTTACCTCCTAAATCTCTTGCGACTGAGTCATGTATGTGATATCTACCCTGTCGTGTGT